CGTCACAAGTTATTGATGCACATGATGAAATAGATAATGATAAATATTCTTCATTTAATAACATTCTAGTATTACTACATGAATGAATATACACTATGCAACATATTTGTAGGTGTAAGGGATGTTCATTTTGATAAACCTTTTAAGGTTGTTTTTAAATTTCTTACCAATATCAAACTAATTAATCGCTCATCACATGGCACAGAATGTCGTAATGTATGTAGGAACTGAAATAAAATAATAAGTAAACTGTGAAATGTATTTGGAAGACATAACCCAATTGATTCTCAGCTATTTACAAACGGGTTGATAACGAAGATAACTTATCACAATAATTTATTTAAAAAATTATTTCCGTTATCTATAAACTCCCAATTTTTATTTCGTTATAGCAAGTTTACCATTATCTACCAGTACTATAAAAGAATATGTAGCATCGGTTATTATGTTAAGCCCATATACCTTATTCTAACTTTCGGACAGGCCAATCTATTCATTCTACTTAAGTCACTTTTTGACCTTGTTAATTATTCACTTATCAACCTTGACTGTTTTTATGTAAGTGTATATGTGTACACTTTTTATCCTACTAACCATATTTCGGTAGCTTATTTTTCTGTTAGTATAAATATTGGTTAAAGCTTGATTACATGGAGTTGTCTAACATACCTTCTCCACTGAGCACCGTTTCGCTCTCTTTTCTTCACTTCCTTCGTTATGTCACTCTGACTATCTGTTCCGATCAACGATTATACAAAATTATGTGTCTTGGAAAAATCCATTCTCGTATTTGACTTATTTTAATTCCATTATTTACTAATGCAATCTAAGTCGATAATTATATACGATATACAATATATACCAAACAAAAACAATCTCATTTGAGTCAGATCCTGATCCATTAAAAATGCATTCACAATAATTTTCATCACCATCATTATCACTCAATATATGTAATAAAAAAAGTAGATAAAAGTAAAAAACAGTTCAGTCATCATATAAAGGACAAAATAAAATTGAAAAGTACGTTTCTATGTATGTATGCGTATGCATAAAAGTAAATGGGTGGGCACCACCAATATATATAAATATATATTGACATACATTGCTTCTTTTTTCCAATGAACTCCTATTTCTCCCATCAAAAAAAAAACTAATATGAATTCATTAATTACAAACTCATTCTATAACAATTATTGATTCACTTCATTATTTTAACTTTATTTATTTATTTACTGTTTTTTTTTTGTTAAAAAATGTTTTTTTTTTCAATGAATTATTGAGCGCCTTTTTTTTCTTCTCTAGTATACCATTATGAAATATTTTGTTCTAATTTTTCTTTTCTTTTCTTTTCTTTTTTTTTAGAAAAATATATATATGAGGCAGAATAATTTATTGGTACTACTATCATCTCTCTCTCTCCCTCTTGGTGTGTATGTGTGTGACTGAATTCTTTTTCAATGTTGAATTTATTTATTTATTTTAGAAAAACAAAATTACCATTTACTTAAATCTTATTTATTGAAGTAAATTTAAAATGAACGAAAAACGAATTAATTTTCCTGTGAAACATTATGAATTAAATAGGGATTAAATTCATTTAGTATTATTTAATTAAATTTTACCATTGATATTTTGGATTGCGATTGATTTAGTCTCTTATTGACATATATGTGTATACTGTGTGTATTGTTGTTTATGGGGCCGTTTAATTTTGTCGTCATTTAGATCGAACAATGTTGTCGAAAGGGCTCTTCACTTTAGTGATCCGAGATCTGACATCAAGGAGATCGTAATGATGATTGTTGTTGAAACATATATATCGCCTATCCTCGTATATAATCATCGAATTTAATCGGGTTAGTCAATAACGGACTTAGATAAGTCAAATAACAAGAATGGACCTTTGAATACATACATTTTACATATTGGAGCGAATGAAATGGAGAGAGGAGAAACGACGCGCACTGGAGATGGCTGGTAAACCAACTCCCATTTAACCAAGCGTTAATCAATATCTATAGTTACACAAAAATAAGTTACAGACATGTGATGAGTAATGGGATAAGAAATGTACACACACCTACGTGCTCATATAAAAACAGTCAAGATTGACAAGCGAATAACTAACAAGGTCAGAATGTGACTCAAGTAGAATGAATAGAATGGGCTGTCCGTAGACTAGAATAAGGTATATGGGCTTAACACAATAACCGACACTAAATGTTAAATTCGTTACTTGATGAATGCAGAATACGGTACATAACTATGGTAGTCGAATGGATAGAACCGTCACAGTTACAAATCAGAAGACTGAAGAAGTACTTATGGAATAAGAAACAAAATGTACAGAAAATTATGGGAATTTAGAGATATTAGTGTCTGTTATATCAACATTATAATTCAACCAATCCGAAAGGAAGCATGTTATGCTACTGTTCAATAGCAGTATGCCACATTGGTATTCTAGAAAGCTTCATCATGCTCTGATTAGATGGAAACTCTTCGGCTCCTTAAGCCGTCCATTCCAACCCAGTTACCAATTGTTATAACTTATGGCCTTGCGCTCTATTACTGTGTAACGTAATGATATCGCCAATTAGAGAATAGTGATTTATCGACTGGACCAATGACGCGTAAACTCGTACGAGCAGTCTAAAGTCTTTATCGGTTCTTCTTCCTGCCTAGCTCCACCTGTTAAGTTCAGAACACTAATCGCAGCTTCCGCGATATGCATCATGTATTTAAAACATACTGGGTTTATGGACAAACTAAACAGACTACATCGTACCATAAAATAGAAAATAACATTTGTACAAGATCTAGCCAAAAGTGGTTGTGGATGTGGAAGACTGTAATTATTAGACTGGGTCAAAATAAAGCTTATAATACATGGAACGCGAATATGCATACTTTAGCTACTTAACCATGATACAATAAAAAATATATGTATCTCATTGGTCCATAAATAGTTCTCAAAAGTTACCATTCATAATTCTCGTCGAAATATAACAATTGCCTAGATAGTGACTTAATTCACAAGCATTATAAACAAAGAAAGATAGTGGCTAGCAGTCCTAAACATCAATGGGTAGATTCAAGTAAAAAATAGCAAATGAATTTAAACTTCATCTAATTGCATAAGCAAGTGACTATCAGGAATCAGTAATTAAGTGGATGACACAATGGCGTTTGAAGAGAATGTTACTGGGTTTGAGTCCAGGAGTAAAAATCAGCTCTGAGATGCAGGTATAACGAGTCCCAAACAGAACGAAACACATGTTCTGGATTCTAGTACTTGCCATTCATCTTTGCTTATAAATAGTTACTAGTTAGTTGGAAATATTATTTAAAATCATTAGCATCCTTTGTCTGTATTTAGATAAATAATTCAACAGTGAAAAATGTTAATATTAAATAGTAAACACCACCACTATTATTTGAACTTATAATTTAAGTGTTAGTACTTTTTCTGCTAGTAGTCATAATAACAGTTGTATCAACAGTAGTAGTCTGAATAAAACTTTAAATCAATAGGTGATAATTAGTTTTTGTCAGTATCCATTGATATTGAAATATGATTTAATAAGAAGAACAAAACTGGTTGTCAAGTGCGACGTTTTAAAAATAAGTGTACTGTTAAGAGAACTACTACTAAGTCTACAGAAAGATTATGAAAGACTTTACATTTCATAAACAAACGCATAGTCACTTACAAATATATACGAAATAAGATTACTTTATAATAAATCATTACTGAACCACTTTTTTAATGTTCTCTTATTCAGCTTTTCTTTAGATTAATTTTAGTTAAATTGTATAATTATACACACAATTCTGTTGTACAACATTAGAATCACAGAAAACTAAAAATGGTAACTGCATTACATTGATACATTGTAATATGATATTTTACAATTCATTAGTCACTCTATCTAGTTTAGTTGTGTTGTTTTCTCTGAGCTTGATGGTTTTATTGCAAAGCTTTCGTCATCGTTTTGTTTGACATCATCAGCGATTACTGCATGTATAAATGGTCGGTGCAACTAATCCATAAGTGTTATATCAGATTATCAGAACTAGTGTGTCAATGAAAAGATGTATTGTGAGATTTTGCCAGTTTCACTTTACTATATATTTCTGTTGAACAATTTGTTTTGTTGATCCTTGACTACATGATTGGTTGACTACTTTGATACAAAAAATAGATTGAGTCCACATCACTATGTCTACTAATTACAGATTGACCTGAAGCCATACTTCTAGAAATTCTCTGACATGCTTTGATTTTCCTTGATCAAACAATTTAATATTTTCTCAATCAAATTCTTATTTGTGACTCTTGACGTGCATTATTTTAAATGAAAACATATCGAGTCAGTTTACTACCAATTTGCGTTATAGAAAACTTTTTAAAACTAGTGGTGTCGACTATGTACATTCGATATGCACAATTCCTATGAATGAGCTCAAAATTTCCCTTAGTGCTGTTCACATTTCATCAAGAAAATAAATTGAAGCACAAATTTTGAAAGATAAATAACGTGAAATTAAAATACAGAAGTCTATTCTTAAAATTTAAATTTAATACTAAATATATACTAGGGACATTGAATAAGTTGAATGTGAAGGAAGAAAAGATCGAAGTGATGAATCGTCAAATCATAGAGACATTAATGTAACTCAGGAACTTTAAAAAAGATTTGAGATAGTATCCTGTACGGTCAAAACAAATACAATTATTTACTTCAACTGAACAAATATTTTTCGGATACATGTACATCAAATGAAGATTATTAATTAAATTTATTTGTGTATGGTTAAATATTGAGAAAATATTAACGACTGTTACTCCAAATTTACCACATAAGACAATTACAGACATATAAATGATATATTTGTAATATCTTAATGAGTAGAAAAATTAGATTTTTTGACATTTTGTGACTTAGTGTAAGCCAATTCTTCAGAGAATAAATAAATAACCAAGTCAAAATCAATCCAAGTTTAATTAGTATAAACGAACAATACAAGAATCTTAGGTGTGATTAATCAAAAAGCAGGTCTGAACAAGTCAATGTTATGTCATTTCCGTCAAGGTGATTCATAAGCGACATCTACGCAAATTTGTTTGTATATATGTGTGCAGTGTTAAAGATGAAAAATGTGTGAATTTTATGGTGAGAAAGGATAAAGTAAGATAAGAGTGTGGATTGTGAATAATATCAAACTAGGTGGCTAGGATAGATAGTCCAAGTAGGATGTGCGGTAAGACCTTTTCTATTGAGAGCAGTAGAATTAAGCATTATATGGAATGCATCAGCTACTGTCCTTTCTTTATAATTGAAAAAGCCTTTTTGTAATATTTTGATATTTTTGAAATCGATTTGGTGGTCGTTGAAAATGGCGTGAACTGCTATTGCTGATTTAATTTGAAGTCTATCCAGTTCTAAGAGATTACTAGGAGGTTTCTTTGTGTACTTAATATGTTCTTTGGCACGAGTCAAGATTTCGCGAGATGACTCTTCAATATAGAAGGCATCACAATCGATACAACCTAGTTTGTAGACGCAGTTCTGTGTAGACATGAAAGGGATTTTTTTCTTTTAAGCGAACTAAAGAATTTCGAAGTGTGTTCGTTGTTTTGTAATATACTTTAATTCTGTGTTGTTTCAAGATTCTTTGGAGTTCTTCTGTTGTTCCATGACGGTATGGTAAAACTGCAGTACTAATCCATGGTATTTCATTCGAATTATTATTATTACGCACTGAAACATCTTGTTTCAAAATACTTCTAATAATCTTCATAGGGGAATTATTAACTTGTAAGATGATAATTACATTGTTTTGTTCTTTGTTTTTATTCTCTTCTGATGTGATGATCTTGTTAGCTCTTCTAAAAAGATTTAGGGCTAGCGAGATCTTGGCACTGAAAGGATGTGCTGAATGGAAGTCAGTATAGTGATTAGTGTGTGCGTTTTCGGTAGATGAATAGGTTTACAATTCCATTTAGATTCCTCTTGACTAAGCAATCTAAAGATGGTAGCTCACCATGTTCATTTTCATTCTCGTTCGTAAATTTGGTGTGAGATAAAAGTGTACTGATCCGTTTTGAAAAAGATCATTGATGAGTCATTTTTTATCACAACAAATTTATCATCTACATGTCTAAGCCGAATTCGTGGTTTAATGTCGTTGGTAAAAATATTTGTGTTGTGACGTGAGGACTGCAAATTTAGATGCGCAGCGTAATTATCGATCGGATCAATGACATGTAAACAGGCACGAACGACCTAGAGTCCCGATTGGCCCTGCTTCACTGTCTATCCCAGCCAGTTGAGTCCAGAACACAAATCTCAGCCTCTGAGTTATGAATCGTTATATTTCAAACATACTCTGTTTATATACCAAACAAACAAACCACATCGTACCATAAAATAGAAAACAATATTTGTACAATATTTAACAAGTGAAATAAAAATCCACCAATAGGGAATGTCCATTTAACGTTCAAGGACACCATTAGACTTAACACGATAATTATTGGTATATTTTTCCGAACATCCTAACAATTTGATTCTATATGTGCTATAACAGACAAAATATTTCCCAATCTCTTTCAACAATTTAAATTGAGTTATATATTTTCCTTTGATATATTTCTTGTTGTTAATAAATATTGTTAGCTACATTTAAGCAAATAAATTTCCAATCCAATCAATCTTATTCTATTCATACTGGTATGATTTTTCTCAGTCAACAACTATTTCATATATTTCTTTAAAGATTTTAGAGTATAGTTAAAGAATTGCTCAAATATAACGATTTATTGATTTTAGTGTCAACTGATGATGAAATTGTTTTTCTTTTGTTTGAAGACCTAATTATCTCCAAATACTTATTAGAAATTTCAAACAATTCAACAGCTATACTCTTTGAGAATATTCTATATAAATAGTTAAATATAAATACAACTATTTTAACAATTATCAAACATACTATATTATTTGAAAACTTTTCATTGAAACTTATATTTTAACAAACATTTGTAATCTTAATAAAAATACTTACTAACGCCTGTTACTCTCAATGAAGAATAGGCCGCCGAACAGCATTCTCCAACCCACTCTGTCCTGGGTCTTCTTTTCTAGTTCTATACAATTGTTGTTCATTCTACTCATGTCTGTCTCCATCTCTCAGCGTATTGTGTTCTTTGGTCTTCCTCTCCTCCTTTGGCTTTCAGGATTACAATTGAGGGCTTGCCTTGTGATGCGGTTGTGTGCTTTCCCCAATGTCTGTCCTATTCACTTCCAGCGATTCTTCCTGATTTCGTCGTTCGCTGGAATCTAGTTTGTTCTCTCTCATAGCAGATTGTTGCTGATAGTGTCTGGCCAACGTATCCGAAGTACCTTGCGTAGTAAACTGTTAATAAACACTTGTATCTTCTGGATGATTGCTTTCTTAGTTCTCCAAGTTGCCGCCCAATACAGTAGAATTGTTTTGACATTTGTATTGAAAATTCTGACCTTGGTGTTGGTTGACAGTTGCTTTGAGTTCCAGATGTTCCTCAGTTGTAAATATGCTGCTCTTGCTTTACCGATCCGCGCATTCACATCTGCATCAGATCCACCGTGTTCATCAATGATGCTGCTCAGATATGTAAAAGTTTTTACACCTTCCAAATCTTATTAGTAAAAATATAACAATCTAAATAAATATGAAATAATAGCAACTGGAATAATTGTAATAATAGTATATGCGTAGGTATATGGGTAGTATATGGGAAGTATATGGGTAGCTTACTTCTGATCTATACGACTGTTTATAAAAATGAACTCTACCACACAGTTTTTAACTGATAAGGTTATATGTTAATGTTAACAAATATAAATTCATCTATATAAAAAACTTTTTAGGTTCATTCATAGTTCCAATATTATTAAGTGCTGATTAATTTGAAATTAAAATCATATAAGTAAAGCATACAAACGTTTTAATAATATTAACATGTCAATTTACATGTATTTATGTAATAAAACATCACTTTTCATTGATTAAAATCCTGTCCAGAATATTAACAATGAGATTATCCAAATCCTTACTAACAACCGTACAAACATTGTAGCGATTGAACACGTCAATGAATATATAGACTCAATAACTCAGTAGACAATTCGCTGTCATCTGAAGTGATAGATTCCAACTTCGAGTCACACTACAAATCACAGTGGTAAGATGCAAGTACATTAAGCAACTTTATCCTAAATAAGACTAGATGTAATTCCTAGATTCCAGTGAAAGCCTCACTCCGCCTATTTCCTGTCACATATCTTTACTTGCATGTATCAGTTACTTTACATATTTGCTCCAATTAAAATCAATTAGATAGAGAATTATATCATATTAATCTAAGTGAATGTCAATTCCAGGATACAACGAAATACAGCTGACGAGTCCTAAACAGGATTCCAGTACTAAACACCTTTATCTATTCTATATAAAGTTGTGTCATAATAACTACATTGAGACGATCCATAGAGAATACATATATGCTAACAAAGAGTGATCGAAATTTGCAAAATTTACCACCATAAATAAATCAGACGGGGTTTTGTGAAGATTTTAGTAATGTCAATCATTGAAACCATGAGTCAGTTGGAGCTAGACCACCATGAAAAACCCGGAAGTACTGGACGGCCGTTTCGTCCCAGTATGAGACTCTTCAGCAGTGCGCATCCAATATCCCGCACCCCCGAGAGATTCGAACCCAGAGCCTATCAGCCTCGCGCGCGAGCGCCTAACCATTAGGCCACTAAGTCGATATCCAACGGTGTTAATGTTCGACTTCAATCATAAATAAAATTTTTTAGAATGAATGATTAAGTCTGTAACATGCATTATTCATTGGAATTCATGAACAGAATCATTTTAATTTGATCTATCATTCAAAATGATAATATCTTCAGAATTTATGTTAATTTAACAAGTTACTCTAAAAATGATTAATTTTTGTTTTTATCAAAATAATATTGTTTCATTTTATTTGTATCAATCTTTTCTTCTTTTCTTTCTGGAACAGAGATAAAACGCTAATCCTAGTAAACAGTCTGCAGACGATAAATATACGTATATAGATAGATAGATAGATAGATAGATATAATCAACAATTCAAGTGGGCTGAAAATTAAAAGAGAAGAAAAACGTGACTGATCAAATATGATAAACAAATATAGAAATTCAGACCGATGAGTATGTTTGTTTAAGATTTTCTACATTCATTTCTAACCACATAAATTATTTCAATGGTTAATATCATGAGAAAACATTTTCCAAAATTGTGTAACTTCCTTCAAATAGTTAAATATTAGAAGTGTAATTTTTTCTTATTTATGAAAAACTGACAAATTATATCATGTTCTTTTATAGTAATAAATAACCTATTCAATATAAGTGATTTATTTAAAAGTATCTAATCAAATCTTGACATTAATATCTACTTATTCATGTTGAAGAAATCAGGAAGAAGCTCTGGAATTGGATAGGACACACATTGAGGAAGGCACCCAACTGCGTCACAAGACAAGCCCTCACATGGAATTCTCAAGGCCAAAGGAGGAGAGGAAGACCAAAGAACACATTACGCCGGGAAACGGAGATAGACATGAGAAAAATGAACAAGAATTGGATGGAACTAGAAAAGAAGACCCAGGACAGAGTGTGTTGGAGAATGCTGTTCGGCGTCCTATTCTCCGTTGAGAATAACAGGTGTAAGTAAGTAAGTAATTCATGTTCGTTTGCTTTCTAGTTTCAGATAAGATATGAAGTTTACAATTACTTCCTTTGAAATTAATTTAGATTACAATTTGTCATCAAACTCAATGTTAATAAAAGTTGAACATAAGAATTGTATGTTGTGTAATAAATCATTGCATAAATAGTTAAAACTTAGTTATACATTCCTTGTTATGTTTGTTATATTAGACAAATTAGAATTAATTTTCTATTTTACCATATTTACTTCTGTTTTACGGAATCATAACTATGAACTTTAAAAATACAATCTCTAATTATGAGATCAATAGAGAAGATTTGTAGCTCGGTGGATGATTTTAATGGAATTTTGTTCTCTGAGCTGAATGGTTTAGTTGTGAAACTTTCAGATAGAAGCCTGAAGTTTGTGCTGATGATGTCGTTCAGAAGAACGATGAAAGCTCCACGACCAAACTATCCCGCTCAGAGAACGAAATTCCATCAAAACAATCTCTAATTAATTAAGTGATATTGTAAACACTATCATTGTTTCCTTTGTATTATATAAACTTTTGTTAATTTAATTTGGTTATTGATTTACTCTAAAGAAGAAGTAGCTTACATGAAGTCATAAAATGTCAGGAATATAAATTTTCTACTCATTGAGATATAATAAAAATATATTTATTATTGGGGTTTTGTGGAGATTGTAGTAATTTCAACAGTTGAGATCATGAGTCAATTGAAGCTAGATCACCATGGAAAACCTGGAAGCACTGGACGGCCGTTTCGTCCCAGTATGGGACTCATCAGCAGTGCGCATCCACGACCCCGCCCCGCAGGATTCAAACCCAGAACCTAGAAGTCTCGCGCGAGGCGCTTAACCAACTAGACCACTGAGCTGGCCGCCATCCAACGGTGTTAATGTCTAACTTCAATGCTGGTTTGTTAATTTGATGTTGAAA